GCTCCGCGCGGCCCGCCCCGCTCCCTCCTTTCCTGCGCTGCTTCCCCGCCGGGAAGGCGCCTTTGGTGCCCGTTACCTCCGTGTTGCCTCGCAYGCAGCCGCGCGGGAGGGTGTCCGCGGGCTGTGCCCTCCCCAGCCCAGGCTGCCGCTGCCTTGTGTGGATCCCTGGAGATGCCACCCCGCGAGTTCGCGCTTGGRTGGGACAAGTTGACGACTTGGAAGTTGTGGCAGTTAAAGCCGTCGCTGCCGTTAYCGTAGGGAGGGCTGTGTCTGAGAGGACGGGTTAGTGACCGGGATGCGATTGGGAATAACTCGGAGGGGTCCCTGGCATCCTGGAGAAAATAAAAAAGTTTGGAACTGTTCTTTGCCGAAACAATGTGTTTCTGCCGCGCTGCCTGTCCTTATCGTGTCAGGGTGTTGTCCACGTACGGACCAACTGCAACAAGTTGTCCCTATCTGTCACCGGTGCCCGTGCCCCCACCCACAAGGAGAAGGGGATGGTTTCGGCTGTGGTCTCCTGCTTTGCTCAGAGTTGGTGGAAATGGGAATGGGAGAAGGTCTTTCTCGCATTTACACTGCAATGCGCTGAATAAAAAGAGCTCCAGCGGTGTAGGAGCATCGCTGCTGTGGTGCCCGCGAGAGGKTGACGGGGTGTTTTACATCCCCGTGCTTCACTTTGTGGGCAGYGTCAAGGCTCTCGCCGAATGAGGAGTTTTAGGGAACCTTCAGGGACCTTGCAAATTGTAGTTGTTGAATTACTTTGGTTGTGTCTACMGTTAAAGTTTGATAGTCGTGTAGAAGCAGCGGGGATGAGGGTATCTGGTACGACTGTTGCTGTAGCGTTGGAAGAGGGAGCAGGACCCGGTTTCAGAGACGGGCGTCACCAGAGGCAGGGGAGCAGTCGTCAAAAAGTGCCACACGGTTGGGTGCAGACGTTATAAATATGTTATGAAGACGACACAGGGTAAATATGCTGGGAAGACAGCACCAACATAGCGAAGCATGGCCGTGGAAGCAAAAGGTGGTGTCAAAAATTA